AAGCCGGCCCGAACTCCAGGCACGCTTCGTCAATGGAGAATGAGTGCAGGTCCCCTACCCTCTTGATGGAGGCCAATGCAACCAGGAGCGCTGTCTTCATAGACAGAAACTTAATCTCTACCGATTGCAAAGGCTCAAAGGGAGGCCTCTGCAGAGCACTTAAAACCACTGAGAGGTCCCAAGAGGGCACGAGGGGAGGACGAGGAGGATTCAGTCTCCTCGCTCCCCTCAAGAACCTGATGACCAGGTCGTGCTTCCCCAATGACTTACCATCAACTGCTTCATGAGACACGGCAATGGCCGCGACATAAACTTTAAGGGTGGAGGGTGACAGCCTACGCTCCAACCCTTCCTGCAGGAAGGAAAGCACGACACTGATCGGGCATCTCTGGGGGTCTTCTCGGCGGGAAGAGCACCAGTTGACGAAGAGGTTCCACTTCAGTGCATAGACGTGTCTGGTGGACGACGCTCTAGCGGAAGTGATGGTAGCCGCCACCGCAGGTGGCAGAGTACTCAAACCTGCCTCGTCCCATCCAGGAGCCACACGTGTAGCCTCCAGAGCTCGGGACGAGGGTGCCACAGGGTGCCCCGTCTCTGAGAGAGTAGGTCTTTCCTCAGAGGAATTGGCCAAGAAGGTGCTGTCGCGAGGAGCATCAGTTCGGAGAACCAAGTCTTGGTGGGCCAATACTGCCCTACAAAGGCAAAGCGCAGTAACTAAAATTACATATGATATTTGGTCAAAAATGAGTTAAGACTTGTAATGGGCTTTATGACATGTCTGTCTTGTGAAAAAATATCTGGGTTAAATTATGTCCTGTTTCGGAGATGCATTACCACATAATCTACCTATAACATGTTTGACTGGCTGGTATAAAAACTTAAGCAGCTAATCCTTTTCCTCCGTTTCTTTGTTTGCATAACGTTAGTTACTGCACTTTGCCTTTGTAGGGCAAAATAGGGGGCTACCAACAAGACCTGCTCCTCCTCCTCCTTGATCTTACACAAAGTCCGTGCAAGAAGGCTCACTGGGGGAAACGCATACTTGCGTGGACCCCGCAACCAGCTGTGCGCCAAGGCGTCTGTGCCGAGCGTTCCGTCGGACAGGCAGTAAAACAGGGCGCAATGGGATGAGTCCTGGGAAGTGAACAGATCTATCTGTGCCTCCCCGAACTGGTCCCATATCAGCTGGACCGACTGGGGATGGAGTCGCCATTCGCCAGAGACTGGCCGGAGCCGTGACAGCTCGTCGGCTGCCAGGTTCCGATCTCCTGGAATGTAAACAGCACGAAGGGACCTCAGGTGCTTCTGACTCCATAGTAGGAGGTGGCGTGCGAGCTGCGACATCCGACGTGAGCGTAGACCACCCTGATGGTTGATATACGCTACTGTAGCGGTGTTGTCCGACCGGACAAGTACGTGTTGACCCCGGAGCAGTGCTCGAAAGCGTTGCAGGGCCAGGCGTACTGCCAGCAGCTCTGCAACGCTATGCAAATTCCGCAGACCCAAGGCATTTTCATGCCATTGGCTCATTTTTAAATATTCGAAGAGGATTGGCTTTCTATGCGAAACCCCCATTCTCCGTCATCCGACGAAACTCAGAGTGACTACGAAAGGGAACTCAGACTCACTGTCAGATATTGAGAATAAAGTGTTTTAGTTTAAACAGTTGAAGTGATTTTAAGCATTTTGATTCTTGTATGTGAATGTGACTGACCTCAATCTCTCCAGTTTACAGTGTGAATCCTTCAGTACGGCACATAAGTGCTTCACTCCTGTGTTTCCTAGATTATTCCTGCTCAGGTCCAGCTCTCTCAGGTGTGATGGGTTTGATTTCAGAGCTGAAGTCAGGATGAGACTCTGTTTCTCTGTAATACTGCAATCACTCAGACTGAAGACAGAGAAATAACAATAGTTCACATCTATGATGATCATCTTATTGAAGAGCTACAGCAGCATTTAGTTTCCAATAGTCTGTTTTAAAACCCAGTCACACTGTTTCTTCTCTTTCATCTTTAACTATTTATTTGACGTCTCTCTTCTTTATTCTCTGTTGAAAAGGCAGATTTCTGAATGTACACAATCAGAACATTGTATCAAATGCTTTGAATTAAACAATTACTATCTACACTCTACTAACTAGATAAAAAACATAAAAATGTGAGCAATAGGGAAACCCAGAAAGTGCACTGCTATAACCAATGAAACATAAGCCCTGCTGTCTTCAAATAAATAACCTTCAGTCACACTGTAATTGCTGTATAGTATAATGACACTAACTGTAGTTTCTCCAGCTTGAATTGTGGGTTCATCAGTAGATCACTGAGGTTTTTCACTCCAGAGTCTCCTAGTTTATTCCAGATCAGGTCCAGCTCTCTCAGGTGTGACGGGTTTGATTTCAGAGCTGAAGTCACATCAGAACAACCTTCATCTGTCATATTACAGTATCTTAACCTACATTGGCAGAGAGAGAGAGAGAATGAAGACAATAAGGGACTCTTTATTCTGTAAAGTCACATCATCTTCATCAGCAAATAAAACAGACAGAGGAAGAGAGATCTTCATCTTTATTACACCAGATCACAAAAAACTAAGGTGGAAATGTTTGCACAAATATAATTTTGGCGAGCAGGACGAAGCAGAGGGACGGGAGAGAAACGAGACCGGTGAGTCGTGCAGGTGTTGCTCATTATCAATCATGCCACCGGCCTTGTGCTGCTATCTCATGACCCTCGGCCTTGTCCTGCTCGCCAAAATAATGTGTTTTAGTTTAAACAGTTGAAGTGATTTTAAGCATTTTGATTCTTGTATTTGAATGTGACTGACCTCAATCTCTCCAGTTTACAGTGTGAATCCTTCAGTACGGCACATAAGTGCTTCACTCCTGTTTTTCCTAGATTATTCCTGCTCAGGTCCAGCTCTCTCATGTGTGACGGGTTTGATTTCAGAGCTGAAGTCAGGATGAGAAACTGGTTCTCTGTAATACTGCATCTATACAGACTGAATACAGAGAAATAACAATAGTTCACATCTAGGGGTGGCACGGTTCACAAAACCCACGGTTCGGTTTGTATCACGGTTTTAGGGTCACGGTTTTCGGTTCTGTGCGGTTCTTGTTATTTTTTCTTTTAATCTTTAACACTCCAGAAATGTACTTCAGCATGTGATATATAGCTAAACTATCCACACTTTAGGATACAGTATTAAAAAAAAAATATTATATTCATGCAATCATGCACAAACTGAATTTGACTTGACTTTAAGCACATTTTGGGACTATCTCAGAGGAAAGCTAGGTGAGATTTAGATACAGCAAGAGAGAAGAAATTGACATGCTTTTTGTTTATTTGGCAAAAAAAGGAGAATGTGTATCAATATCTCTACAAGAACTTGTGCATTTTTATCACATAAATCTTATTTACACAAAGAAATTAACTTTCATGTATCAACTGCTAACTTTTGTAGCTCTTACCAAAATTCTATCTTTTAAAAGAAAAAGAGAGGAACTCTTAAACACTGTCTTTTAAATGTCAATATACATGAAACCTCATTGCCTATAGATAATTAAGCTATAGCAATAGCAAAGGCCATAAACATAAAGTGAAATTGAAATTCAACCTCAACACAAAAACAGTATCAACAATGCTTCTATTCCCAAAATGTGAGGGTACTTTTTTCCACTTAAAATTAAAGTGCAGGGTTTGGAAACGTATGACTGAAGCTCTTATCTATACATAAAGTGACACTGTAGTTAAATTAAAATATCATAACATGAAATCCAAAATGTTCCCACACACCGGACTTATACCATAGGCTTATACGACGCTGGCGCATCCTCCAACTCCCTCATCTCTCCCACTTGCCATTTCTCCGCGTGCCGTGACCTGCAGCGCTCCATACTCCACTTTTACTGGCTTGTTTATTAACTTGAACCGGCGCTGCACAGAGCGATCGGTAATGACATCAAATACCGCGAAAGTGATGAATGCATACGGAGCCGACTCGCGCTAGATTGATGTTATTCACCGATCGCTCTGTGCAGCGCCGGTCCAAGTCGAACAAGTTTATGTCGCGCGAAAAGAAAACACACCTCACATACGGGCACGAGGTTACATTGCGCATGCGTCGAACCGTGAGACGCACACGCGCTCCGAACCGAGACAAGCGAACCGAACGGTTCGGGTGTTTTTCATGTACCGTGCCACCCCTATTCACATCTATGATGATCATCTTATTGAAGAGCTACAGCAGCATTTAGTTTCCAATAGCCTGTTTTAAAACCCAGTCACACTATTTCTGTGTGCTGGAAGACACTGTTTCTTCTCTTTCATTTTTGACTATTATTTGACGTCTCTCTTCTTTATTCTCTGTTGAAAAGGCAGATTTCTGCATATACACAATCAGCACGTTGTATCAGATGTTGGGAATTAAACATTACTATCTACACTCTACTAACTAGATAAAAACATAAAAATATGAGCAAAAGGGAAACCCAGAAAGTGCACTGCTATAACCAATTTAACATAAGCCCTGCTGTCTTCAAATAAACTTCAGTCACACTGTAATTGCTGTACAGTATTATGACACTAACTGTAGTTTCTCCAGCTTGAATTGTGGGTGCATCAGTAGATCACTGAGGTTTTTCACTCCAGAGTCTCCTAGTTTATTCCCGGTCAGGTCCAGCTCTCTCAGGTGTGACAGGTTTGATTTCAGAGCTGAAGTCACATCAGAACAACCTTCATCTGTCATATAACAGCAGCTTAAACTACATTAGCAGAGAGAGAGAATGAAGAAAATAAGAGACTCTTTATTCTGTAAAGTCACATCATCTTCATCAGCAAAAAAAAAAAACAGACAAAGGAGGAGAGATCTTCATCTTTATTTCAGCAGATCACAAAATACTAAGGTGAAACTGTTTGTACAAATATAATGTTAATGTGTTCTAGTTTAAACAGTTAAAGTGATTTTAAGCATTTTGATTCTTGTATGTGAATGTGACTGACCTCAATCTCTCCAGTTTACAGTGTGAATCCTTCAGTACGGCACATAAGTGCTTCACTCCCGAGTTTCCTAGATTATTCCTACTCAGGTCCAGCTCTCTCAGGTGTGACGGGTTTGATTTCAGAGCTGAAGTCAGGATGAGACTCTGTTCCTCTGTAATACTGCAATAACTCAGACTGAAGACAGAGAAATAACAATAGTTCACATCTATGATGATCATCTTATTGAAGAGCTACAGCAGCATTTAGTTTCCAATAGTCTGTTTTAAAACCCAGTCACACTAGTTCCCGTATGATATCCCGTATGTCATCTCTATTTGTATGTATATTTATTTTTATGGTTTAGTTATATTATGCTGGAGATTCTGCCTTATATCACGTGGCTATTTTGGTGATATGTGTGAAGCTGTTGTGTCTAATAAGCCCATGAGGGCTGGGCACCATAAAAGGTGTTTGACACGTAGATAAACAATTCAATCAATCAATCAATCAATCAAGTTCTGTGCGCGGGAAGACACTGTTTCTTCTCTTTCATTTTTAAAAAGATGTCTCTCTTGTTTATTCTCTGTAGAAAAGGCAGATTTCTGCGTGTACACAATCAGTGCATTGTATCAAATGCTGGACATTAAACAATTACAAACTACACTCTACTAACTAGATAAAAAAACAAACACATAAATATGTGAGCAATAGGGAAACCCAGAAAGTGCACTGCTATAACCAATGAAACATAAGCCCTGCTGTCTTCAAATAAATAAACTTCAGTCACACTGTAATTGCTGTACAGTATAATGACACTAACTGTAGTTTCTCCAGCTTGAATTGTGGGTTCATCAGTAGATCACTGAGGTTTTTCACTCCAGAGTCTCCTAGTTTATTCTCGCTCAGGTCCAGCTCTCTCAGGTGTGACGGGTTTGATTTCAGAGCTGAAGTCACATCAGAACAACCTTCGTCTATCATATCACAGCAGCTTAACCTACATTAGCAGAGAGAGAGAGAGAGAGAGAGAGAGAGAGAGAGAGAGAGAGAGAGAGAGAGAGAGAGAGAGAATTTGAATTTGAAAACATATTTTATTACATTCAAAAATAAAACATTATTTCATTACATCATTCTACATTTTATAAAACACACACACAAAAAGCCTCTAATCTGCTATTTATACACCATGAAAATACTCCTTTTACTGCAAACAAATAGCAAAAATTAGTGTCCCTTCATGCACAGAACACAAAATCTCTCCACAACACCATTTCATTTCAAACAATGACAAATCATTCATAGCCTTGAAAAAATTTAAATCTGTAATTATTCTGGACTTGGAAAAACCACCAGTATATCTTGTCCACAACTATTTTCAATCTTATTCTTCCTACTCACATAGATTGCCATTTTTGATGTTTTGGCCCAAAACATAATTTAACAACTGACACACAGAAGCCTTTCTCTTTACATATTTAAACCCACATATAAACATTTGCATAGAGAATTTTTCATTAAAAGCCTTAAAAAAGACTCTACAACAATAAATAAAGGTCTTAATCTATCACAAAACATAAAAGCATGAAAAATGGTTTCTCTCTGCAAGCAAAAAGGACAATCAGAACTAATCTCTGGGTTTATTACAGAAATAAAAGCATTCACAGCTATGATTCCATGTATTAGTCTCCACTGCATGTCACCCGCTCTCTTAGGTAAAGGTGGCTAATATAGTGCTCTCCATTGCGGTCTAAAATCTCTACTAAGACCAATGACATTACGCCAAGGACAAGGTGTATCACTCCTGTTATGTAAAACTTTCCTGTTAAAAACTTTCACACAATTGTTATACACATCTTTCACATTAAATGAATCAGCACTGAAAAAAACATCCTTCTTCTCCTAAAAAATATATTCATACTCATCCATTTTTGGTGACAGTCTTAAAGTCTGGAAAGGGTCATCCTCCTTTGGTTTTATGACACCTCTACAAAAGTATTTGATGGTTTTCAACTCCTCTTCTTCAAGAACTGACCTCCACTTCAATAAAAGTTGATGAACCACCCTTAGAGATTTAAATCCCAATTTTTCTAAATCATTTTCGGCTAAAAACATATCTCCATCTCCGGATGCACATTTAGAGAGAAATTAATTAGCTACATAATTACATAGTCAGAAGATATTGGCTTTCGATTCGAATTTGTTCGTTTTAATTTGGACATTTAAAGATTTAATCTACAAAGGATATAACCCCTGTAGACTAAGCTTTAAATGTCCAATTTAAAACGAACAAATTCGAATGCGGTGGCTGTTTCAGTTCTCGCGCTTCAGTTCACAGAGATCATGAAGCGCGCCTGATTGTTAAAGCACAACGTTTTCTTGTTATTGTGAGTTTACGCAAATAAATGTATTTGCAAATAATGTATTATTATTTTCTGTATGACCAGAAATGAAAGAGTATTTTAAGTTGTTTCCACTGAAAGAACTGCAGTGAAACACACACTGGATATGCGTCAAAAATATTGTGTTTATTTGTACTTTGTTCCTTTTTTGGATAAAGGCGTCTTCTACATATGCAGACTAACAAAATGTTACAATAATGATTATTATTATTATTATTATTATTTGAGGACAGAGTTTTTGTGAAATGGACGTGTTTCCAATGTGCTTATTTTCAATTGGCAATTTCAGCTTGAAGGGTGATGGAAATGCAGCTTTAACTGCTCCGTACTTACTGCGTTTTATTACTATAATTAATTTCGTTTCAAATGGGGTCCAACCAGTTATTAAAGGTGTTAAAAATTAACTTAAGGGCCTCGGTTAATGAAAACCTTGAAAACGTGCAGCCCTACTTTTTATATCGCGCAAAAAAATCGCTGCTTGAAATGGAGAATCGCCTGTACTGGTCTGTCGAGGATACCAAAGCTGTTCTGAGCATTTGGGCAGAAGAAAGGGTAACGTTACGACGTCAATTTGACGCCGTGTGAAGAAACCGTCCCTCACCCGTCCCTCTGTTAGTGGCGACTCGCGAGACAATCGGGACACTATTGCAGCCACGGCAGGTGAGTTAATATACATGCTATCTTCCTAATTTAAAAAATAAATGAATTCATAATATCCGCTGAAATGGGTTGGGTTGTATGACGTTTGATCCAGAAAGGCGTGTTAGGGGTGGGGTTTGGGGCAGCGCTGTGGGGCTACTGGCCCGGCAGTGGAAACGCAAGTCCGGTGCTTGAGGCCCGAGGCCACTAGCTCGGCTCGGCTCGCTGTTAGCTCTGGCCCAGCCCTAGCCCGGCAGTGGAAATGCGGCTAATAAGTGTCATTCGGTAAATTATGACACTTTTAATGCAAAGTTGACATTGTTTAAAATGTCTTTGTTATGACAACTTGACATTAATAAAGACAAAAAATGTCTTGATTATGACAACTTGACATTAACCAAGACAAAAATGTCTTGATTATGACAACTTGACATTAACCAAGACAAAAATGTCTTTGTTATAACAACTTGACATTAACTAAGAAATCATAACCTGTCACAAATATGTCATAACAGTTCTAATTATCAAACTTAAATAAGTTATTTAGCTTTGTGTTAACATTACATTACCCTTATGGTTGGTTTTAACTTTGGTTGTCATGACACCATTGTGACATGAATATTTTACTTGTCCTCAAGTAAAGTGGAACACATTGTACTAGTTATAAAGATTTCATTAAGGGTTATTACACTGTCAAATGCTTTAACAACAGTGTCATTAATATTTCAAGTGTATATTTTAATATTATTTTGATAGATCATTACAAGATGGCCGGCGGTCGGCAGCGTCGGGCAGATCCAGGTGCGTTTGTGCGCACTAAACCTGTGATTTATCAAACTTCTGATGGTCTAACAATCGTGGAAGATGAACTGTTAAACTTTCTCCTGATTAAGTCGAGAACTCTTGACCAAGATAACATCAATAAGTTGGTTAAATCTAGCTTCAGTCAACAACGCATTGAAGACTCGAAGGCTGTGATGGCAGAGTTGTTTCCTGACAACAAACGCTGGTTCTCCCACAGGGGAGAGAAGAAAGATGAACTGTACATCAAAATGTGCCTGGCTGTCTTCAAAGAGAACGTGGAGTTGCCTAGATTTGTCTCGCACTACATTGACGAACTGCCTCCCGTCTCATTCAAGCATGTGGATGTCTCTGTGCTACTGGGGCGGATTATGCAACTAAACGACGACATTGAACTTCTGCGGATGTCAATTACCTCGCAGGCGAATGCTTGTGAAAAACTGCTGGGGATATCAGACTCCCTCGCTCGACGACTGGCGGCGGTGGAAAACCCTAAAATCAGTGGGGTGGTGAGCAGTGGGAGTGCTGACTTCCCCACTGCAGGTCAGCCGGCAGTATCTACTCCTCGTTGGCCTGACGACGAGGATCCACGGCGTAATAAAGATCCACGACCAAGTAGGCCTGTGGCTCAGACGGAGACGGATATGCCAGAGGATATTTTTCCTATGGACAAAACCCCACAGCGGGAGGGACCAACTAGAGGAGCATCAGCCTCGTTGACCTCTGCATGTGAGGGGGAAACGGACCAGGAAACGGCTGAGAAAAATAGTTGGAGTACTGTGGTGAAAAAGGGCCGCAAATGGTCTGTAAAAACTTATGAAGGGAAACGGAATACACGAAAGATGACTGGTATCACTGGGACCGCGGTGATTAACAACGATGATCTGTCAACTGTGGGCACAAAGATGGTCAGTGTCTTTGCCACTAAATTTAACGCGAACCTTGAAGCTGATACTCTGCGTCTTTTTCTTCAAGAGCAGATGAAGCGTGAGGTGAAGTGTAGGAAAATAGACATCCCTAACAGCAGATTCAGCTCCTTCTGTGTCACAGCAGAATGGAACGAGTGGAAGGAAATGTACAACCCTGTGTTTTGGCCTGCTGGGTCAGTCATCCGACGTTACTTCCAGCCCGACGTGCCAAAGGGGTAGGCGGGGTGAATCTACCCAAGTCAACCGGAGAGCAGGTGCTCTCCCATGAAGCACACACGGGTCCGTCGGTCCCTTCACCGATTGCGCAAACCAGCGGCTCCGCTGGGATTGACAAAAGTGCATAAATGCGTGTGGTGTCCTACAACTCTCGTGGCCTCCGAGTTGGTCACACGGCAGCTGACAAGGCCAGGCGCCTTGTTGTTGACGCTTTGCTGGGTGACAGTGATGTGCTGTGCATTCAGGAGAGCTGGTTGGCCAAACAAGACTTGGACAAACTAAATGACTTGCACCCCGACTTCCATGGTGCTGGTGAATCAACTACTGACCTCAGCAAAAAGATCGTAAAAGGTAGGGATTGCGATGGTGTGGCGATCTTGTGGAATGTAAAATATGACTCTATGGTGAAAGTTGTGCGTCTCAACGTGGACTGGGCCATTGGCTTAGAATTTAATTTCAATGGAAAGATTTTTATTATTCTTAATGTATATACACCCTATCAATCATATGATCATGTGGATGAGTATGTTAGCAGGCTTGCTTGTATTCAGTCTTTCATCGAAGACAACAGCTCAACATGTATTTATGTCTTAGGTGATTTTAATGCTGACTTGGCAAACAGCAAGTCCTTGTTTTATAAACATTTGTTGAGATTTTCTAAAGATAGTAACCTTGTCATCTCCAGTAAAACCTTCCTGCCTGACACTAGTTATACATACATTAGCGAAGCTTGGAATACCACTTCATGGCTAGACCATGTCTTATCTACAGCTGATGCTCATGCCTCCTTACAAAGCATTGAGATATGTTATGGATTAGCTACCACTGACCACATTCCTATAGCTATGGTGTTGAATGTGCAAAAGGTCCCCAAGGTAGTTAAAAATGAAGAGGCTTATGAGGCCAAAATAAATTGGGGGAAACTATCTGAGGGTGATGTACTTAAATACTGTTTTAATTCTGATGCTGCTATTGCAGCTACCTATGACTGCCATTTGGTGCACTGATATTAATTGCGGGGATACTTCTCAGAGGAATGGTTTATGTGATATGTATAATGACATATTGAAAGCCTTAATTGAGGCTAGTGGGTCCTTAAAAAAAGGAAAACCAGGAATATAAAGCCTGGGTGGAATCATTTTGTTGCAAACCATCATACTGAAGCCAATATGGCTTATAAAGCCTGGGTGTTAGCTGGTCGGCCCAGACAGGGACCTGAGCTTGAGCATGAAAAGAAAATGAATGCCAAATATAAATATGCATTGCGGTATATAACTAAGCATGAGCAGGCGCTAAGTGCTTCCTCAATGGCTGACTACTTGCTTAAAAATAACATAACTAATTTCTGGAATGAGGTGAAAACCCTTAATAGAACCAAGACCGCTCTCCCATGTAACATTGAGGGGGTGACTGCACCAGAGGACAT